CTGGAACTGGCATCCCTCACAATTACCCAGTGTGACGAGACCAATCTCGCCACTGTGCATTGGAGGAGCCTGGTTGCCTGCCTGCCTGCTGCCTTTTGACTATGGACCAGCATTTAAATATTTTATTTTCCTATGCAGAAAGGTCTATTTATGTATTTCTGCCAGGGCGTCCGTAGATTCTATCTACCGAACAAACAGTCGTCTATTGGCCTCCCAGGAGCCGCGGTTAACTGGCAGGCGCCGTTAATTAGCCGCCCAGAAGCCGGCGATTGCCGCCAATTGACCACCCAGTAGCTGCGGTTAACCGCAGCTTAATTGACTATACCAGGTGGCCGCGACTACGCATACTGAACACTGGATGGCAGCAGTCTGCAGTTCACATGCGGCCGGTTCATTCACGGATTTACTCAATGAACTCATTTAACCCAGATAGCTATGCCATGGAGCCTATTCGTGTAATAAAAGACTTTGGCTCCATGGCAATTGAACTGTATGTGTGTGGTCTGAGCACCATTCAGTAATAATGTGCGCTCAGACCTAAGCTATCTGGGGATATGTTGCATGTCTGTATTTTATGTAATAAATGTAACCTTGTGTATTTTATTGTGTTTTACTGTCTTTTTACTGCCATGTGCTTAATGGAGTTTTGCCTCTCTCCTTGGAGATAATTGGATTACTTCCCAATTATTTCCAGGATAGAGAGGAGGGATTGTGATGTCATTGTGGGAGTGTTTGACTGTGTATGTATGTGATTTGCTACTGTATCCTTTTGGTAACAGTCTTCCATCTGGTCCCCTAGGGGAGTGTCCACCAGGTGAGAGACCTGCATAAATACTGGGCAGGTAGCCCTGAATAAAGGAGTTCACTGCTTGACCCTCAACACGGAGCTTTGTCTCGTTCTTGGGGGGATTTACTGTATGCTGTTAGAGACTGATTGCCAGGAGTGTAAGCTGCTTGGGTGCTTTTCCTGTTCTGCTGCTAGCAGCTATTCGTGAGGTTCCATTTCGGGAATTTGGAGTGCTACTTTGTATCCTGTTCGGGAGTTTGGGGTTCTGCGGTAGCTCTGCCTGTGTCTCTGGAAGGGGAAGATCTTCTAAATGGCAGTTTAACCCCTTTTATGCCTGGCTGTGGGGCAGAGCACCGCTCATCTCTGCCCACCAAGGAACACCAACTACCAGCTGGAGAGCAACCGAGAATCCAGAAGTACCAGCATTTACTTGTGGGTGGGCTACTTGACTAACTCAGGTACTGACCGACAGGAGGTCAGGTACCTGGTTACTGTCCCCTTAAGGAGGGAAATTTGTGGCAAAAATGACCTCACCACTGGTTTTTGAAGGGGCCTGTTTGCCAGCCTCCTGCCCAAAGACTATGGGCCCTGAAAAAAGACATGTTAAAAAGTTACTTTCATGGGAAAATGTGTCTCTTCTCCTCCCCCTTTTTCCTGTCCTATTGTTTCCCCAGCAGGGCGTTGTCCCAGGGACACTATTTCCCAAAGACAACCTCTGGATATGACGCTGAGCACGTGCACTCAACTTCTTTGGTCGACCATGGTGAGGTCTGTTCTGAGTGGAACCTGTCCTGTGAAACCACTGTATGGTCTTGCCCACCATGCTGTAGCTCAGTTTCAGGGTCTTGGCAATCTTCTTATCGCCTAGGCCATCTTTATATAGAACAACAATTCTTTTTTTCAGATCCTCAGAGAGTACTTTGCCATGAGGTGTCATGTTGAACTTCGAGTATGAGAGAGTGATAACACCAAATTTAACAAACCTGCTCCCCATTCACAACTAAGACCTTGTAACACTAATGAGTCACATGACACCGGGGAGGAAAAATTGCTAATTGAACGCAATTTGGACATTTCCACTTAGTGGTGTACTCACTTTTGTTGCCAACGGTTTAGACATTAATGGCTGTGTTTTGAGGGGACAGAACATTTACACTGTTATACAGCCTGTACACTTACTACTTTACATTGTAGCACAGTGTCATTTCTTCAGTGTTGTCACATAAAGAGAAATCATAAAATATTGGGTATTGCCACATCCACCACGACGCCAGGTTGGTTGGCCAGCACTTGCTTGTCTGTATGGATCTTTAAGTCCCACAGGATCTCAGCCCTGTCATTCTCAACTACCCTTTGTGGCATCTCCCATCTGGACTTAGGCAGGTCCAATCCATATTCTGTACAAATGTTTCAGTACACAATCCCAGCAACTTGGTTGTGTCTCTCTGTGTATGCTCTTCCTGCTAACAGCTTGCATCCGGCTACTAGGTGCTGGACTGTCTCAGAGGCCTCTTTGCATAGTCTGCACCTTGGGTCTTGCCTGATGTGGTAGACTCCAGCTTCTATTATTCTGGTGCCAAGTGCCTGCTCCTGCGCTGCTAGGATTAGTGCCTCAACACTGAGGCACTAATATATATATATAAATAAATATATAAACACACACACATTTCAATTTATACTTGGCGCAAATCAGTTTTTTCTTGTTTTAGGGTATCCAATTAACCCCTTAAGACCAGAGAGCGTACAATTACGTCCTATTTTAGGCGGCTCTAAATGCCGCCGGGCGTAATTGTACGCCCTCCGGTCTTTCATTACTTACCCGGTCGCCGGCGATCGCGGTGGGCAATGTGAGTGAGGTCCTTGCGAGGACCTCACAATCACATGGCTGGGTAGGCTGCCTCCTGCATTGCCAGCAGGGGGGCTGCCTGTAATGACAGGTGGTCCCCCTGCTGGCTGAAAATAAAAATAAAATAAATTTATAAGTGTAAAAAAAAAAAATGTATACTTAGATCATATATATATATATATATATATACACACACACATATACATACACACTCATACACTGTCCAGGTGTATTTTACTATTTATATATATATAATTATATATAAATATCAAATTACATGTAGACTGATACGGATTAAATATATATATATCATTATTATTATATATACTTATATATAATATAAAAAAATTAAATATGTAAATACGTTAAAAAATAAAATAAAAAAATAAAATATATAGATGTGTGTTATTTCATTCTAACTGTATTGTGATAATATATATATATCTCAAAATACACGTAGAACGAAATATATATCTACATACTATCTACATCACTATCACTATATATATACCTATATATAAATAAAAAAAATTATATATATTTATACATATATTAATTCTAAATATATTTATGTAATTTTTTTTACATAATTAAGTATCTTAATTAATTACAATTAGCGGGACCTGCCTGACAACCCATGCCGAAAGTAAAGGGAATTTAATTTGCTAGCACTATATTTAACCCTATAACTTTTCAAGACACCATAAAACCTGTACATGGGGGGTACTGTTCTACTCGGGAGACTTCGCTGAACACAAATATTAGTGTTTCAAAACAGTAAAGTGTATTACAACGATGATATCGCCAGTAAAAGTGAAGTTTTTTTTGCCTTTTTCACGCACAAACAGCACTTACATGCACGATATTATTGCTGTGATACTTTTGGCTGTTTTGAAACACAAATATTTGTGTTCAGTGAAGTCTCCCGAGTACAACAGTACCCCTCATGTACAGGTTGTATGGTGTTTTCAAAAGTTACAGCGTCAAATATAAGGCTTGCGTTTCATTTTTTTCACATTAAAATTCGCCAGATTGGTTACGGTGCCTTTGAGACCCTATGGTAGCCCAAGAATGAAAATTACCCCTATGATGGCATACCATTTGCAATAGTAGACAACCAAAGGTATTGCAAACGGGGTATGTCCAGTCTTTTTTAGTAGCCACTTAGTCACAAACACTGGCCAAAATTGGCATTTTTTGCATTTTTCACACAAACAAATACTAACGCTAACTTTGGCTAGTGTTTGTGACCAAATGGCTACTAAAAAAGACTGGACATACCCCATTTGCAATACCTTGGGTTGTCTACTATTGCAAATGGTATGCCATTATGGGTGTAAATTTCTTTCCTGGGCTACTGTAAAGTCCCAAAGGCAACGTAACCAATCTGGCGAATTTCAATTTCAAATGTAACGTGCTATATTTGACCCTGTAACTTCCCAAAACACCTTTTTTTTCATATTAAATTAGGTTTCATAGCTAAATATTTGATATTAAATGAAAGCCCTGTTTCCCCTGAACAAAATGATATATAATAAGGGTGGGTGCATTTAATATGAAAGAGTTGAATTACGGTTTGACAGACATGTAGCGCAAATGCCAGGTTTTGTTTACATTTTGTTTCGTTCACAACGTGTACATTTGGCTTCGTCCTTAAGGGGTTAACAGAATCTGCTGCCATTTGAGTGAGCGCTATGTCTCTCTTTGTTTCAAACAGGAATATGCTCTTAGGGCTACAAGGGGCATTCCTTGTCCTTTAAAGGATCTTACCATGTGGCAGCAGTTATTTCAACATCTCACTACGAAACGAAAACCGATTGATGGCCCCCTAAAAATGTAAAGGTGTATACTCTTACTTATATGTATATTGTTACCCAATTCTCAGAGCCAATGCTTTTGTCTCACGTTTTCAGAGCGATTTAAGTGGGGTCAGAAACCTAAACAGGTGCACAGGCACTATAGTATCAGGAATACGTTTGTATTCTTTACACTATCATGTTTCCTCTTTCCTGCCATATGTTCCAGGAATTGTTTAATATGGGATGAATGATCCTCCAGGCCCAAAATAGTCTTGTTGCACCTCTCCCTTCACTTTCTTTCTCGTTGACCTAGCTTTGTAAGCATGATACTAATAGCTAGACCTTATTTTAATCATACTTTCTGTGCACTTTAATTGTGCATCACATAGTGCACTTTAATGGACTATCGTATAATGGTTCTATAAATACAGTGACATGATAATGCTACCAATCCTGTTTCCCCCCTGCATTCTGATGTGAAGCCACTTTACCTTTTCTATTTAATTTGTGGTCTTAATTTTGCTTAATGCTTTGTTATTTTCACGTGGAACCACTACCAAAAAAAGAATTTTAAACAAAAGTATACATTTTTAATTAAAAGACCAAAAAATATTATTGCAGGGAAAATGTACAGTGAGATTTCTGGTATTTCAAAGAAGACATGTTTGCCTATATAATTACTCATGGGAAGGTGCAAAACACAAAATAATTGTACAAGTTGCTGGTTAACATTTATTGATTTAATTACAAATGTTTCAATAAAATAATTGTAGAAATTATTTGACCATCTTAAGCATAGAAATATTTATATAATTTTATTAGTGTAGGAAGCAAACTATTGCATTATACATTGATAAAAAGTAAAATGATCTAGCTACGACTTCTTATATAATACTTTAACACCTTAAAAACCATTTACATGTCATGCTGTTTATTCGGACCTTAAAAAGGACCTATTCCTCCTCATTTAGCGTACCATGTCACATTTGGACATTGAAGAATGAAAGACTACTGGTCAGTAAGGGTTAAATATTAATAAATAAAATTGGCTAAGGTTCAGAGGTCTGTTGCACAATTCCATTTGCCTTTAGCTCTTGATTGTACCTGGGAGGAGAAAAAAAAAAAAAAAAGAAAGTTTAGACATAATTTAAAAGTTACAAAAGGGTAATACATTTTAAACTTATATTTCCCTTGCCTTGATTTGTTCTGCTAGTGTAATTGGTCATGTATTCTGTATATGCGTCTCTTAAGTATTCATTAAAATTAAAAAGTGGCAATTTTTTTTTTTTTTTTTAAATGTTTATTATTGTTATAGTTTAGCAGACAAATCAACTTCTTCTCTGCAACATTAGGAACTGGAGATTTTACAATAGCTAAATAATAGAGACGCTCCACAATCCTGAAGCACTCCAGTTTTGCTAAAGTGCTTTAGGAGTGATTATGATGCCCCTTTGTACATAGTCCTAAAAGTGCCTATTTCAAGACAAAACTGCACTTTTATGAATTGATGCAAGAACAGCCACCTAGCCGTCAAGCGGACAGGCAGGAGGGCTTCTGGCCTCACTTCTCCTAAATGATTGTTCAAGTGCAAGTGAAAGTTTTCACAGTGATACAGAAGTCTAATGCTTCCCTTAGGTACACATTCAATTTAGCGATTGCTGCATTTTAATGGCACAATTTGCACCAACTGCTGTGCATGTGCCATTTTCAGGCGAAGAGGAGTATAAATTGTTGTCAGTGATAGTCTCTCAGCGGATTCACGGCTAGAGAAAAAAAAGATAAAAAGTAATAATTTTTTTATTTTGGAGGGCACTCCCCAATGTTAATACCAAATATTTGTTTATATTGTTGGAGTGTTTCCTTATGTGAAGATGCAAGATAAGTATGCCTTACCGAGTTTATTAGTTGGGGTAAGATAACTTTTTTTGTATTTTTTCTATTAATATGGCATGTCTAGCATGTAATATTAATTAAAGTGAGTTCTACAGTGCCACAAATTCGCACAGCACTAAGGAATGTCCAAGACCATGTTTGTGTATCTTTTCTTTACTATAGAAGCATGCAAAACACACACAAAGCACCATGTGGAATAATGGCATGCTGAAATAATAGTGCCGAAGAGGTAAGTTATGTTTTTTTGTTTTGTTTTGTTACCTCAACAGCATTTACTTGGGTGAGGGAACAAGGGGTTGTCATTTTCAAAAAAAGTGAAATTTGGTCATGCAACGGGACAATGATCCCAAAGCACAACAACAAATCTACAACAGAATGACGGAGAAATAAAATAATCAAGTTATTTCAATGGCCCAAAGTCCAGACCTCAGCCTGACTGAAATGCTGTGGCGGGACCTTAAGAGAGCTATGCATTAACAAATGCCGACAAACCTTAAGCCATTAAGGACACATGACATGTCGGACATGCCATGATTCCCTTTTATTCTAGAAGTTCGGTCCTTAAGGAGTTAATGAACTAAAGCAACTTTGTAAATAAGGGTGGGTCAAAATTCATCCGCAAAGATGTGAGAGACTAATAAAATCGTAAAGAAAACGATTACTTCAAGTTATTGCCGCTAAAGGTGGTTATTTTAGTACTATTTTTCCTATATGGCTTCTCCATTTTGGCTTTATTTCTGTTAAATAAATTATGCCATGGTATAATATTTCATGTGTTGTTGCTCATCTAATTTTAAGACCTGCTGAGGAACAGATGATTGATATTATGCCCTGATATGTAAAAACACACAATTTAAAGAGGGTATGCTTTATTTATATACATACACGTGTTACACACATATACACACACTATTAGTCATACATACCTCCATATTCTAAGTAGCTGTGAGCCCCCTGCACAACCAACAAAAAAGTTCACTGCGAATAGAGACCAGTTTTTAGGGATGATCACAAGTGAGTAACGTGACCATATAAGCCCTGCAATAAGTAAAATAGAGTCAAAAGGGGGAAGAAGTTATGTTGAGTTACTAAGAAGTGTATACATGACAAATGTTACTTAAGAAATGTATCCAATTGCATATAATGGACCATGAATGGAAATGTACTCAGAACATATTGAGTTGGCTAATCCAATTATAACCCATGCTGACTGAAGACAGGGTTAAAATAAAGATTCACAAGGTTAGATGGTGTGATTTATTCATAAATTATGCCGTAAGACCAACTTTTCCATGTAAATAACATCTTCAGCAGGGGAAACTTAACACAACAAGCTGTTATTCAGGTAAGATTGATGTAAAGTGGTTTCAGGATTTTGGCAGCAGACATTGAGAATTACAGCTTTTCTCTGAAATGGCAATGTTTACATTAAAAGGCTGGCAGGGATATACTATACACACCAAAACAAGTAGATTAAGCTGTTGTTCAGGCGACTATAGTGTACCTTTAACTTAAGTTTTTTTTTCTCCTGCTCTGTAAATTAAACGGTTATGACACACAGGAGGCTCATGTAGGGTTTAAAAGGCTATTGACATAGCAGGAGATAATAAATATCAAATTAAATGTCTTGCTGCCAGATACCACAAGACACGTTCATAGGCCTTGACACATCAGAAAGGTTTTGGCGGCACAATGGAGGCCTAGATGATATTATGCAAGTGGTTTTAATGTTGTGGATGATCAGGGTATATACATTTTTTTAAAATCACAAATCATAACAACAATAATCAGTATTTACAATATAGGCTTTTGCATGTATGGAACACTACTATATTGTACATTATTATGAAGGATTATATTATTGCATTTATTTTTCTAACTGTACATGGACTGTTATTTCAAAATGCAAAACACAGAACTTACCAGTGGCCATTAGTACTGCAGACTGAGCTGTACTCAGTTTTTCTGCTGGTCTTGTCATGTCAGCTAACCCTGCAATCACCAACCCCTGAAATGACCAATTAATTATGTTATTAGAAAACAAAGTTAAAAGGTTTAAAAAAAAAAAAAAAAATGAAGGTTTTAAAAACTTACCTGATATCCAGCGCCAGGCGAACCTACAAGCGCGCTCCTTAACCCCCCATTGTTTTGAATCTGCTCATACTGGATATGGCAAAAGCAACTTCGTCACTGGTTTTTGGAGAGGCCTCCTACCCTGGGATTATAGGCCCTGTGATAACCCATGTTCAAAAGTACTGTTTCTGCCCCTTGGACTTTTAACTGCAACAGATTCAAACATGTGGCGGCGGCCATCTTAAATTGTCCAGCAGTGTTTTGTCATTGAGTGTATGGAACTGTTTTGGGCATGGGACCATGTGCACGGTGGGGCAAAAATAAGACTTCCAGGAAATTCCTGAACCCCTTAATCAATCTGGGTAATTTCTGGATATGTTGTTCACCCAGACTGGGGCTATCAGAAGTTGTGTTGTGGGGTACTTATTGGACTTTGTAAAATGTGTGTTTTTTTTCTTCCTGTGGATAATTAAGTTAATGCATTATCTGCCTTAATTATATCACAGGCAGAGGGGAGGGATTGTTTACTGTATGTGGGAGTGTCGTTCATTGTTACATTGTTTTGATTGGCTTGTATACTTTGTGTCCTTTGTCCTGTGCCCAACAAGGTCCACCTGGGCATCAACCTTGTTAGGAAACCTATATAAAAGGCCAATGCGCCCCATTAAAGCCGTGTTCCTGTTTTAACCTCAACATAGAGTCTCGTCTCATGTGTGGGGGAAAGGCTGCATCTACCCTGGGGATTGCTATATCACTATACTCCCAAGGGATTATAATCACTAAGCTCTTTTAAGAGCTTATTACTGCTACTTTCTCTTGGAGGAGAGGTTCACCCACTGGAACCTGGAGCCTTGTCGTAGGTCCAAGGTGGGTAGAGGACGGCCCAGACAAGCTGTAACGCTGGATGTGGGGACTGCTGTGCTGATGGTGTCTGGTGGAGTCCTCTGTGAGCACTAGGAGCATCTGTCGGCGGAGGTACCCAACCGGGGTACAGGAAGCTACGTTACACTGGACATTGGCATAAATATATTTTTACCATTTGTTGTTTACTACCTGCCAAGTATGGTGTGCCCTGTGAAATTCAAAAGCAGTGAGATGTACACATTTGAAAATATACAAATGATGAAAAACAATACAACATATCAAAAACACTCAGCTTACCCATTTCATTATAGGTGCCCAGAAAAATACTGTTTTGGGTCCTGGAAGAAAAATAAATATAAGGTCAACAAAATTAACTATTTTTCTTTATGACTGGTATTTATAAAGCACCAACATATTATGTATCGCTGTACAATTGGGAAAATGGGAAACAGTGTAAATAGACCAATACAAAAAGGTAGAGGACCCTGCCCACGAGCTTACAATTTAAAGGTTAAAATTAGGAGATGAGACAAGAGGTAGCAGAGGAATGAAGGTGATGGCAGAGAGAATTAAAGTACCACTATAGGCACCCAGACAACTTCAGCTCAATGAAGTGGTCTGGGTGCCAGGTCCCTCTAGTTTTAACCCTGCAGCTGAAAACATAGCAGTTTCAGAGAAACTGCTATGTTTACACTGAGGATTAATCCAGCCTCTAGAGGCTGCTTTCTGCGATTCTCACTGTGAAAAATCACAGTGAGAAGACGCTGACGTCAATGGGAAAGCATTGAGTAATGTTTCCCTATGGGCGGTTTGAATGCGCATGCGGCTCTTGCCATGCATGCGCATTCGGCGCTGTTGTCGGCAGGAGAGTAAGTAAGTAAGAAAGGTAAGTGGATGAAGGGGTTTTAACCCCTTTCAGCCCAGCAGAAGGGGGAGACCTAAGGACTACATAGTGCCATGAAAACGAGTTTGTTTTCCTGGCACTATAGTGGTCCTTTAAACATATCATTGCAGTAATTGATAACATGTGATGGGAAGGTGATTCCAAACAGAAGAGCATGCTATATAGTTAGCAGGAACCAGGGTTGGTGGGCTGAGCAGAGTAGAATTAAAGAGGCTTGTTGCAGAGATGGAAGAATACAAAACAAACAGGACAATAAGGATGCGCCTAAAATGTATACTAAAATGTATAAAATACAGTAAATAACAAAACAGTGTATAAAATATGATATAAAAAATAAATGACGATCGTCCAAAACTTATCAAAGTTCGTAATGAGGACTCCCACGTAAAATAAGGAAAAATTCTTTAAGGTGTGGAGTAAGGTCAAATCTTCTTAGTTGTATGCTTAGGGTTCAATAGAGCACATGTGGAGAGAAGAAGAGACAGGACTCCAATGGTACAGTATATAGATACGTTAAAAATGAAAAAATAAAAATAAAATAGGTCTTACTCACAATTTTCAGAGCTGAGGATCCAGCTCTGATATTTAGCGCGTGAAATGGAATAATCCCCACTCAAGGATATATGGAGTAGATTTCAGATGACGATTCTCTAGTGCACGTTCGACGTCCAAATTACAGACCCAGGAAAAAAAAAGGATAAAATATATAGTGCTCTCTGTATTTTGATAAAAGGTTAGAAAGTATAAAATGTATATTACTCACATTCTTTTGAGCAGGTATATACTGCTCAATATAAGCGCTTAGGTGGTATGATCCCCACCTATGGATTCTTTAAACCTCTTCTGAAAATAGGCGATATAGGTAGTCAGGTGAAAGAAAAGAAAAGAAAAATGGCAAAGTGTTTTATGCCAAAAATTCTTTATTGTAACGTAATAAAATAATATCTAGACGCGTTTCGCCTCAAGGGCTTCTTCAAGTAGATAAAAGTAATAAAATTACTTTTATCTACTTGAAGAAGCCCTTGAGGCGAAACGCGTTTCTTTTCTTTTCTTTCACCTGACTACCTATATCGCCTATTTTCACAGTAAGATCCTCAGCTCTGAAAATTGTGAGTAAGACCTATTTTATTTTTATTTTTTCATTTTTAACGTATCTATATACTGTACCATTGGAGTCCTGTCTCTTCTTCTCTCCACATGTGCTCTATTGAACCCTAAGCATACAACTAAGAAGATTTGACCTTACTCCACACCTTAAAGAATGTTTCCTTATTTTACGTGGGAGTCCTCATTACGAACTTTGATAAGTTTTGGACGATCGTCATTTATTTTTTATATCATATTTTATACACTGTTTTGTTATTTACTGTATTTTATACATTTTAGTCGCATCCTTATTGTCCTGTTTGTTTTGTATTCTTCCAATCATTAGGGAATTATAGGGGATTCCCTTTTGAGGAGTGCAGCCTTCACGTATTGTGGCCATTTAGCGCTGATTTTTTTTGTTTTCTCTATTGTTGCAGAGATGGTTTGGGAAATGGGCCTTAAAGTTGTAGCGTTCAATTGAAGAGGCTATGCAGTAATAGTAAAATTTGATGTAATTGTAAATTATGAAAGAAAATATAAAAACTCAGAAAATTTGTAAGGATATTCACTAAAGACCATCACCCAGACAAAATTCAGTGAAAATGACAGAGTTTAGACCACAATGGTAATTCTCATATTTACTGTAGCCAAATCAGCTCAGAATTCGGTTGGCAGGATACATTCTGTGTACGGATTAAAATCAGTGCATCACAAAGTGTAGGATTCTTACGTTTCACAAAGCACAGATTTTTACCAAATAGGAATTGAATGTATCTGGCTGCATGCACATGCACAATGTAAGTTATTGTTCACCAGTTTTAATGCAGGCAAACGATTTTTAAGTACTATTTGCCGCCTGGGAACCCAAACGGTTAATTGGCAGTTGGCAAGTTTAAAAAAATAAACAAATTAAATGCCTATTGGTGCCATTAAGAGTAGAAATGCCTACATGGCATAGGGAGATGGAAGATTTTACATCTCCTTTACAGTAGTATGTCTTATTTGGCCCCGCATAGATTTAAAAAAATATATATATATATTTTTATTATTATTATTTTTTTCCCCCTTTAATGTAGCTAGCAAGTGCTGGTGAGCAGTCACATAATAAACCCTTGACCCACCAAGGGTTATCTAACGATTTGCACAATATAGCTCTCCTTTAATTTAAAAAAAAAAATTATTAATCTAGGCCCAGATTTTAAGCATTTAGTCCAGCTTTCAGTCACTTAGTGGTGTTTAAACCTGGACCAAATTCAGGCCAGTTCGGGACCAGAATTACAGTTTAAAGAACCAGTTTCAACGTCTCAGAGAACACGATCTGAGATACCCATATAATACAAAGAACTGGGCACAACACAAGGATACCCATGAAATACATGGAGCTGAGTAGACTACAGAGAACCATACAACAGACACAGCTGAATAAAATGCAGAGAAACAAAAATACAGAGCTGGGCACAAAAAGGAGATGCCAAGAACTATCCTACACAACCATGGGAACTAGTCTATATGACACAGAGCTACTGTATATTAAGATCCACTCAGCACAATGTCTCTGTATAATGTTCCAGCTCTAACTCTCTAGCCCTCTGTGAGTCTATCTTTCCATTTTCTGATCTCATCTTCAGTATTGTTCCTGCTATGAAAACTTTAGCCATCTACTGTAATAGTGTTTCATAGCAGCAGTAGCAACATGACACCTTCTCCCGATTCACTTATTAGCTCTCAGCACACAATGTACACAGGAGAGGTTATTGATAGACTCCTTATTACCTCTGCAACTGACAATATGATTAATCTGTAGGAGTAATGTAGAGCTAAGAAGTAGCTGACAGTTAATAAAAGTAACAACCATTACAGAATCAAAGTACTTAGAGTCAGAGCCCCCGCCCCAGCCTTTAGTGTGGGACTTCATGTCTTTTCAGTTAGCCACAGAATGACTGTCTTGGGTCTCAGATACATAGTACTGAACATGTAAGGAAACCAAGTGCATTTAAACCTCAAATCGATAGTTTCCTCCCGAACCGCCAGAGCCTAGTGAATATAACCCTCCGTTCGTTAGTTATGGTAGACGAATCCCAATGTAATTCCAATAGTGTCCCTGGATAATTCCCGCAGTAAAACACACGAACTCCCAAACAGCATAAGTAGCCAGAAGAAGGGTACTAAGATGAACTAAGGATTTATTGACAGGCATGCTCTTTTTATGGGATTCTGCCCATGCAAGGGAGCCTCCCATATAAATAACTGTACATCCAAGACTAACAATATACATACTGTACATCTCCTCCCCTCAGATAACCATTAAACACAATTAAAACGTAACAGAATTTCCCCAAAGTTTGGATGTACCCGAAGGACTTCTCTGGGGGACCAACATATAAAAAAACTCAGTCCATTCGGTTCATCCGTTCGGGAGATATGGGACTTAGAAGTTTTGACCGACTGCACGGTCAAAGTAGCCGAAAACAGTTCCATGAATTCTGGCCCTGCAGTCGGTCTTAGGTCGCATGAAAAACCTCCCGAACGGCCGGCCATCCAGCTACCATCCTTGGTTCGCTTGATTCCCCATCTGTTAGTATGTCTTTCTACCGAACGTCCGGTAGTTTGGAAGGGGGTTTACCGAAGGTCTGGAGGATTCAGCGGTGTTCGCCTATTTGAGTGTCCGTTTTCAGTTCCAGACACTCGACGGCAAACACCGCTGTTCGGGAGCTAAAATGGCCGCGAACACGTGGAAGTCCCGAAATGGCGGCGCGACATGCCGTTCGTGCAGAACTTCTGTCGAACGTAATCCAGCCAGCAGGGAAGGTAAAGTCTGTATAATGGGCAACAGGGTGGTCTTGATTCGGTAGTTTTACCTACCGAATGCCATAGGGAACATTACTATCAAATAAAAGAATACAAATTGTTAATTTACAGCATAAGAGGGGCATTTCTTCACACTGCTCCCCTATAAGTCCATAGGTCGGCATGCCCGCCAAGACCCTGACGGGTTGGCTTGGGGATGTCCGAGAGGAAAAAAGAAACAGTCCAGGTTAAGCATCCAATTCCGTTTGGCGGGACAAAACATCTGCATTACCATTTTGTTTGCCCGGACGGTACTGCATGGTGAAGTTGTACGGTTGAAGGGCTAGGCTCCACCGTAAGAGTCTGGGGTTGTCACCAGCCACCCGGTTTAACCATACCAACGGGTTGTGGTCGGTCATCAGAGTAAATGGCCGGCCGTACAAATAAGGTTGGAGTTTCTTAAGGGCCCACACCAGGCCTAGGCACTCCTCCACGGTGGCATAGCTGACCTCCCGGGGCAAACGTTTACGGCTGAGATAGGCCACCGGGTGTTCCATGCCGTCGTCTCCCACCTGGCTTAACACGGCTCCCAGCCCAAACATGGAGGCATCTGTGTGGACAAGAACTTGTTTAGAGTAGTCGGGTGCTACCAACACAGGAGCCTCACTCAATGCTGCTTTCAGTTTCTGGAAGTCTGCCACGCACTCTGGGGTCCAGGTAACCTGTTTGGAAAGGGCCTTTTTGGTGAGGTCAGTGAGGGGTTTGGCCAGGGCGCTATAGTCGGGGACAAATTTCCGGTAATGACCGGCTGTTCCTAAGAAGGCTAATACCTGGGTCTTAGTCCGAGGTTGGGGCCAATTAGCTATGGCCTCCATTTTGGCAGGCTCAGGCCGCTGTTTACCTGACCCTACCCTGTGGCCGAGGTACTGTACCTCCGCCATGCCGACGTGACATTTGTCTGGTTTTAACGTAAGCCCTGCGTGGTGAATTCTCTCGAGCACCCTGGACACGTGGCCTAGGTGGTCTCCCAATGTGTGGCTGTAGACAGCAATATTGTCTAAATACGCACATGCGAAGTCCTGGAGTCCCTCCAGGAGTCTGTCAGCCATCCGCTGAAAAGTAGCCGGGGCATTCTTCATCCCAAAGGGCATAACCTTGAATTGGTAAAGCCCAAAGGGAGTGACGAATGCCGACTTGGGAATGGCTGTAGACTCCAAGGGGATCTGCCAGTATCCTTTGCACAAATCCAGAGTGGTCAAGTAATTACCTCCAGCCATACGGTCCAGTAACTCATCTATTCTGGGCATGGGGTATGCATCCGTTATGGTGCGGTTGTTGAGCCTCCGATAGTCTACACAGAAGCATGTGGTGCCGTCACGCTTCGGTACTAGTACTACCGGAGATGCCCAAGGGCTTTGAGAGGGTTCTATTACCCCTAACTTGAGCATGTCGCTAATTTCTGCCAGCATGCACTCACGCACGGCCTCGGGAATACGGTATGGTTGCTGCCGCAGTGGCGTCTCTCCCTGGGTTTCTACCCGGTGTACCACAGCGGAGGTATAGCCTGGGATGGCAGAAAATATGACCTGGTATTCCCAGAGCAGGCCGGACGCTTCCTGTCGCTCTAGAGGTTGTAGGTTCTGACCAAGGCTGACCTGGTCAATACTGCAGGGTGAGGGGTCTAACAGATCGGGGAGCGGGAGTCCCTCGCTATCTTCGGAAGAGGGGGCGCATATGGCGCCGACATCTTCCGTTCGTTCGTAGTAGGGCTTTAACATATTTACATGGAAGACTTTGGTCAGTCTTTCATCTGAACATTTACTTACAATGTAGGTGGTATCGCTTATTCGCTCCACCACCTTAAAGGGTCCCTGCCAAGCCGTCTGGAACTTATCTTTCTTGGCGGGTCTCAAAGCTAGCACTTTTTGGCCCAAGTCTAAGACTCTGTCTCGGGCACCCCTGTCGTAGCACTTCTTTTGGCAGTCCTGAGCCGCCTGCAGGTTCTCCCGAACTGATTCAGTGAGAGTCCGCAGCCGGTCGCGGAACTCCAGTACGTACTGTACTGTAGGGATCCCCCCATCATCCGTGTTGCCCTCCCAGTGCTCCCGTACGAGATCCAGGGGGCCCCGAACTTTTCTCCCGAACAGGAGTTCGAAGGGGGAAAACCCCGTGGATGCCTGGGGCACCTCACGATAGGCAAACAGAAGATGGGGAAGATACCTCTCCCAGTTCCTGCAGGACTCTGCGAACGTTTTTAGCATTTGCTTGAGCGTGCCATTAAAACGTTCACAGAGACCGTTGGTCTGAGGGTGATATGGGGCGCTAAAGAGGGCTTTCACTCCACAGCTCTTGCGTCAGGAGAGCCGTGAACTGAGTCCCTCTGTCGGATAGGATCTCTTGTGGGAAACCTACCCGGGAGAATATTTTGACCAGGGCCTCAGCTACGGTTTCGGCCTCTATATTGGGGAGGGCCACGGCTTTGGGGTACCGAGTGGCATAGTCCACTACGGTGAGTATAAACTTTTTACCAGACTGACTGGGCCGACTGAGGGGTCCTATTAAATCCACTGCTACCCGGTGGAACGGCTCCTCTATGATGGGTAACGGGTGAAGCTTCACTTTTTGGTGGTCACCCCGTTTCCCTATTTTCTGGCAAACGTCACAGGTCCTGCAATAGTATTTGAGGTCTTGAGTGACCCTGGGCCAGAAGAAGGTTTGGGTCAGCCGGTCTCTAGTTTTCTTAACCCCTAAATGTCCGGCTAGGGGGATATCATGGCTGAGTCTTAATAACTCTGCCCGAAACTTGCGGGGTACTACTAGCTGCCTCTTAGTAACCTGGGCGGTCCCGTGTCCCGCCCCATCTGTCACCCTATACAACAGTCCCTTGTGCCACTCAAACCTTTCGTGTGGGTTGTCGCCCCTATTATTCCCTACCGCTTTTCTATACCCGTCTAGAGTGGGGTCAGTCCTTTGTTCCTGCTCGAACCCCTCGGGAGTATCCCAGAACGGGGAATGGGGGGTCGGGTAAAGGGGGTATTTCAACTCCTACCTGGGTTTCCTCAGAGTGCGGCGGTGCTTCCAGTCTGGCTTGAGCTCGGGTGGTAACCGGGTAGGCTTCGGACGCGGTGTCTCGGGCTAGCTGGGAAGTTAAACAGCCCACATCATTCCCCAACAGTACTTCGGCTGGTAGCTCCTGCATAATGCCAACCTCCAGTTGTTTAGATCCCGAGCCCCAATCCACAAGGACTTTAGCCGTAGGTAGTTTGTGAATGGCACCCCCGGCTACCCTTACTGCCACAGTGCGGCCCGTGTGAGTTTGGGCCTTGACAGTGTGAGGTTGAACCACAGTTAACGTGGCCCCAGAGTCTCTTAAGGTGCAGGCCTCCATCCCATCTACCGTAATCCATTGACGATGGTGGTCCCGGGTGTCGCCTCCTGCTTGCACAGGGTTGACTTCGTGCAACACACTCCATTGTTCCTCGTGGGTAGGTAACCATGATGTACTCTCCTGCTGTACACAATGAGCAGCGGCCCTGGGTTGTGACTGTGGTGGCGGCCTTTCCCAGCTTCCCCGGTTTAAACGTGGGCACTGGTTTTTATAGTGTCCTGGCTGTTTGCAGTAGTGACACACTGCAGGGGTGCTGCTGCTGGGTTGTGTGGCAGATTACTCAGGGGGGGCTCTAGGTGGTGCAGCCGTGGTTGGGGCGGAATACAGCTGTTTAACGGCAGGTCGGCTCATCCCTTGTTCTCGCCTCCGGTTATCTTGATATTCATCTGCCAGTCTTGCTGCCTCCTCCACAGTTTTAGGCTTCCTGTCTTTAACCCAGTCCTTGATATCCTCTGCTGTATGGTTAAAAAATTGTTCTAATAGGAGGAGTTGTAAAGCATCCTCCAGAGTGGTTGCTTGGCAGCCCTTCATCCAATTTCGGGCTGCCCTGTGCAGCCGGAATGCCAATTCAGTATGGTTTTCCTCAGGTCCCTGAATTTCTTCCTGTATGCCTCAGGGGTAACTGCATATCTAGCCAACAAAATGTCTTTTATTTTCCCATAATTATGAATATCCTCATCAGGTACTGCTCGTGCCGCTTCTGATGCTCTGCCTGACAACTTGCTGCTCAGTACTGCAGCCCATTTGGTGGAGTCTAATCCCTCCAGTGCACATTGCCTTTCAAAGTCCTGCAGATAACTATCAATCTCCATCTCATTGTCATTAAAGCTTTTAAATGCAGCATAATTTACCTTTTTTGGCATGTCATTTGTACTTCCCGTGGAGTGCAGCAAATCCCCCTGCAGCGGTCTGTCACGGTCATCTCGCTCCTTCTGCAATTGCCTGGCTTGTGCCATGACCTGCAGAACCGCCTCTGTTGCTGGGTTAGGTCCCAATAAACTGAGCATCCACCTGATGTCTTTCTGCATCTCAGTTTCTTCCTCACGCTCCATTTCTGTAGTGCAGGTTCTGTAGCCTTGTAACAGCTCTGCAATTAACGTGGCTTTTGTTTTGTTGCTTGCTATTACGCTTCGAGCTTCCAGTAAATCCTTTAGCGTGGTTCTCTTAAGCTGTTGGTACTGCTGAGCCATTGATTCCTTTGCTTGCTTTAAAACGTCCGTTCGGGATTCGAATCTCGCCGCTGCTACCAGTTGTAAGGAAACCAAGTGCATTTAAACCTCAATCGGTAGTTTCCTCCCGAACCGCCAGAGCCTAGTGAATATAGCCCTCCGTTCGGTAGTTATGGTAGACGAATCCCAATGTAATTCCAATAGTGTCCCTGGATAATTCCCGCAGTAAAACACACGAACTCACAAACAGCATACGTAATCAGAAGAAAGGTACAAAAGATGAACTAAGGATTTATTGACAGGCATGCTCTTTTTATGGGATTCTGCCCATTCAAGGGAGCCTCCCATATAATTAACTGTACATCCAATCCTAACAATATACATACTGTACATCTCCTCCCCTCAGATAACCATTAAACACAATTAAAACGTAACAGAATTTCCCCAAAGTTTGGATGTACCCCAAGGACTTCTCTGGGGGACCAACATATAAAAAAAACTCAGTCCATTCGGTTCATCCGTTCGGGAGATATGGGACTTAGAAGTTTTGACCGACTGCACGGGCAAAGTAGCCGAAAACAGTTCCATGAATTCTGGCCCTGCAGTCGGTCTTAGGTCGCATGAAAAACCTCCCGAACGGCCGGCCATCCAGCTACCATCCTTGGTTCGCTTGATTCCCCATCTGTTAGTAAGTCTTTCTACCGAACGCCGGGTTTACCGAAGGTCTGGAGGATTCAGCGATGTTCGCCTATTTGAGTGTCCGTTTTCAGTTCCAGACACTCGACGGCAAACACCGCTGTTCGGGAGCTAAAATGGCCGCGAACACGTGGAAGTCCCGAAATGGCGGCGAGACATGCCATTCGTGCAGAACTTCTGTCGAACGTAATCCAGCCAGCAGGGAAGGTAAAGTCTGTATAATGGGCAACATGGTGGTCTTGATTCGGTAGTTTTACCTACCGAATGCCATAGGGAACATTACTATCAAACAAAAGAATACAAATTGGTAATTTACAGCACAAGAGGGGCATTTCTTCACAGAACATTTTAAAGAAGATGGTGGGTACTGGGCAGCTAAGCTTACATTATGGGTCCACAGTGCTATCAGGAATGAAGGCTATTTTCCCTCATTTCCCTTGTCTTGAAATCCCTTCTTAAACACATCCCAACGTGAGGGCATGCTATGCCGTCCTACAAAAGGAGGGCTTTTACTACATTAAGATGGCGTAGCACGCCCCAATGATCAGTCCCTCCCTTACCTTATACTTACCTTAGCTGTCCATCACAATCAGGGGACTTGTCTGACAACCCAGGCCCCCTGCAGCCAATCCAACTGATCTAAGTCCTGCGATCATATGACTGGGCTGCAGGGGGACTGCCTCACTTGTCAAAATTTTTTTTATTTTTTTTAATTACGAAAAAAAGTTTTTAATATATAAAAGTAATCACTAAAAGCCAATGTTACTGAATTTTGTATAATTATATATAATTAAATCATAATAGTGATTGTGTATTGGGGATACACATTCATTACAATTATTGAATTATGTGTAATTGTATAAAATTCAGTAACATTGTCTTTTATGGATTACTTTTATAGATTACAAAACTTTTCCCACACAAGTGTGGTGTTTGATATCAATGCATAATTTCCGTGCAGCAGATAGACTAATGTGCCAATAAAACTGCCCACATATTGATTCAGTTAAAAGATCACTAAAATCATCCAGACTACCTCATCCTAAAGAAGTGATCTAGGTTTCCGGATCTGTAGGTTTAACCCAACAATGTAAACCAATGCAGTATTTTTTTTTTTTTTCAATAAAACTGCAATGTTTATAAACCTCCAGGATAACTCCAGGTATCATAACCACTAGTGAGCTGTAGTGATACCATGCTTATAGTAAATCATAATGTATTATGCAATTAATCCACATGTATAAACAATTCACAGATGACTGCATAGCAGCATACTAAGCATATATTACAACAATACGTGTATGGGAAGAAGTAAAGCGATACATAAATCAAATTTCAAAATATGCTATCATAACACTTACACTACCCCCTTAACCCCCTAAGATATCCTCAAACCAAACACCTTAACTTAAAAATATCAAATAATGTAAAAAATATATATTCTTGACAGTAAAGGCATGTATTAGGAAAAAATAAACACAGGGTCATGGTAACATTTATAAAGCAATACACCTTTGGTCAGTTCGATTATTATCGTGTCTCCAAAACCACTCTATGGTATGATTTTCCAATAAAACACAGTTCACTCTTTTGTGTCTAGCAAAATAGGATTTCAATAAATCTGCATGCTGCATTAGTGCCATTTAGAATGAGTAAGTAGCCTAAATTTATGTTTCAGATTATTCTTTGGGAAAAGCTAGAAATATGTTGTGTTATATGGCTAAGAGGGTTCATTTTAAAATATTATACGTACATAATATCAACTTAACATAAAATGACCTTCAACCAAGCCTTCTCTCCAAAGGAAAAAAAAAAAAAGAATAGGTCATAATAGTGCATTTGCCATCACTAACTAATCTGAGTGAAGAAAATGGTTTATGAAGGAAGTATATTTAAAAGGAAAAATAGGGGTAATAGTTGCCAGGGGGAAAAGAACTAATGAGGAAGTCCAGTTGGATAACGTTCCATATTTAGGATGCTAGTCCCAAAAATAGCACCTGTTTAGTTCTAAAAAAGTTCCATCGTGTGTGCAAAAGGTAAAATCGAAATCTTGAATTAAAGGGCAAACATACAGTAGACACAGACACTCAATTGAAACAATCTCACATCATGTTTTATACCTGCCGGGTGATTGTAGAACGGTCTCAGCTTGGGCGGTAACATCAGCTCTACCCGGTTCAAAGCCCGGTGATAGGAAGCCCTAAATCCAACAGCCGCCGCCATCGTTTCAACTGCTGTCAACCGAAGACTTGGAGGACAACCACAGTGAAAAAAAGCACAGGTTCAACGGAAGTTAATTTTGTCAAAGCAAGGTCTTGGAGAGGGCGTAGGAGAAACATGTCTCCTCATTGGTTCACTGCTATGTGTAAATATGATGGCAAGACATTCCCTTTCCTGTGTCACCGGGTAATGCGAGTCAGCTGACTGTTACAGATATGCAGCGCGTTCTGTTTGTGGCTACATAACGTTCTTTAATGTATTGTCTGGAAAATCATCTAATTTGTACACGGGCGCATTTTCTTTAGAATGCTAGGTGAATGGAACCAATATTTTTTTTTCTTGGTTGACCCATTTAAACATACATTACGGTGTGTTTGCATCGTTTTGTATAAATAATTGGAAGGTCACACGTTCTCGTCCACTGCAGGCGGTGTTTGTCAAGGTCGTACAATGCTCAAACAGAAACCAGTATTTAGTTACCAGTTGTTCAGGAATGCTATTGTGATTTTAAACTGTGCAAAGACACTACTGTAAAACATTGCTATTGATGACTGAAGTCTGCCACTCCTGCAGTTTTTTTTTTTCAGTTTGCCCTCTACAATTTAGTCTTACCTAGCTGCTGCAAAAAAGAAAATAATCTTCAGTTCTGTATTTAAAGGACCACTATAGTGCCAGGAAAACATACTCGTTTTCCTGGCACTATAGTGCCCTGAGGGTGCCCCCACCCTCAGGGTCCCCTTCCCGCCCGGCTCTGGAAGGGGGAAAGTGGTAAAAACTTACCTTTTTCCAGTGCTGGGCGGAGAGCTCTCCTCCTCCGTTCCGCCCCGTCAGCTGAATGCGCACGCGCGGCAAGAGCTGCGCGTGCATTCAGCCGGTCGCATAGGAAAGCATTATCAATGCTTTCCTATGGACGCTGGCGTGCTCTCACTGTGAAAATCACAGTGAGGAGCACGCAAGCACCTCTAGTGGCTGTCAATGAGACTGCCACTAGAGGATTAGGGGGAAGGCTTAACCCATTAATAAACAGCAGTTTCTCTGAAACTGCTATGTTTATTAAAAAATGGGTTAACCCTAGAAGGACCTGGCACCCAGACCACTTCATTAAGCTGAAGTGGTCTGGGTGCCTAGAGTGGTCCTTTAACAATCAGGACTGGACTGTTTTTGCGATGTTGTACATAGGCGACCACGCCTCTTTTTACACTTTTGTGGTGTTTGTGTTTAGCTGTAATTTTCTGCTCTCTCATTTACTGTTCCCATACAAATTTATATATTGTTTTTTTCATGACAAAAAGGGCTTTCTTTACATACCATTATTTATATAATATGTAATTTAATTGTTTTTAAAAATGATGCAAAATTGAAAAAAATACATGTTTTTTGACTTTTACTTGAAAAATCTTTTACTCATCTACAAAAGCTAATGAAAAAAACTGCTAAATAGATTCAAAATTTTGTCCTGAGTTTAAAAATACCCAGTGTTTACATGCTTTTTTGCAAGTTATAGGGCTATAAGTACAAATAGGATATTGCGGTTTCAAAACATACATTTTTAAAATGTATCAATAGTGACATTGTAACACTATTATCTGTCATAAATCTCTGGAAAACACCCCACATGTAAATATGTTTTTTAAAGTAGACAACCCAGGGTATTCATCTAAGTATATTTTGACACTTTCTATGCAGCCATTTTACCACCAGTCTTTGCCAAACTTCGCATAGGTAGTTTTTTTTTTATTACATTTTTTCACATACATTGCAATTCAGGTATAAACTCACAGTTCCTGTTATGTGTTGCTGCCAAAAAACACACTAATATATGTCCAGCAACATCTCCCGAGTACAGTGATACCACCCATGCATAGGCTTGTCGAGTTGTTTGGGGGCTAAAAGGCCATATTTGGCAGGTGCGCATATCCATTTTTCAACTTGGAATTTTGACATGTAGTCAACCTGCGCACATGTCCTATTTGGGACATTTGCAAGGCCAGTGTTCTATCAATTTTCCCTACCCCGTAAAAAACCCCTACCCTCGTCACTTCCGGTGACGCGGCCGCGCCAGAAGTGACGAGGGTAGGGTTTTTTCACGGGGTAGGGAAAATTGATAGAACACCGGCGGACAAGTTATTAGAAAGACCACAAAATTGGAATGTACACCACCTATAAAGACTTGCATGGACTTAGAAACATTAATAAAGCCAACTGAAGAAGCCACGTTGGGCGAAACACATTTTGACGATGTTATATCCTTTATAGATTTTATCTGCATTTATTTTTATCTGTATACCCAATACATTTTTATTTTTTACCCATTTGTATTTCCTGCTATTCACTGCTGGGAGGTGACTATTACAAGCATCCAGACCAAGCATCTAGACCAGGTATCCAGGCCACACACAGGGGGATTTGGATCACCCCAAAAAAGATCCTAAGGTCATCCACACCAGAGCCAGGTTACATATATGGCTCTACTCTTGTGAGTGCATCCTTTATATGTAGTATCTCTATATAATATTGTGAGTTATCTGCACTATTGTATACCCCTCTGTCTTTGCAGCATTGCTCAACAGATTGAAAAGAGAGGAAAATATACAACCTGCTCCACCTATTGTGCTTGTATGATATGTATTTTTCGTGTTGGTATAGGAGATACCACACAGGTGTTTAGAGCATTTTGTCACTATTATATATATATACCACTTGTATTGTCTATTACATTGTCTGCCTACCTTTAAGTCATGATAAATAATCACCCCTAAATCCCTTTCCTCCGATGTTGAGGTTAGGACTCTATCAAATATTCTGTACCCTGCCCTTGGGTTTTTACGTCCAGGATGCATTATCTTGCACTTATCCACATTAAATGTCAGTTGCCACAACTCTGACCATTTTTCTAGTTTACCTAAATCATTTGCCATTTGGCTTATCCCTCCTGTTACATTTATCAACCCTGTTACATTTCTTAGTATCATCAGCAAAAAGACATACCTTATGTGGCTGCTCATTGTAAAAAAAAAAAAAAAGTACCCCCTCCCCCTCCTAACCTGAAGGGGGGACCTATTGGCCCCCACCCATGAGCGGCGGGTGGGGGCCCTAAAGTAAAATAAGGGGGGAGGACCTATTGTCCTCCCCTCTGGCCCCCACCACTGAGTGGTGGGTTGGGGCCCTAAAATACTAATTAGGGGGTTACTTAATCCACCAATCAGAGTGTTATGAGTCAAATTACACAGCATGGGAAAATTCTAAAGAACTTTCCCACGCTGTGTAAAATGACACAGAGCTCTCTGATTGGTGGATTTCAAACCAATCAATCAGAGTGCTGTGACAGGTCAGTCTCTTCATTTACCTGTCAGAGCACTCTGATTGGATGGCTTAAACCCACCAATCAGAGTGCTCTGAGTCTAATTTCAGGGTGGGGCAAGGCTTTATAAGCCTTCCCCTGCCCTGCAGAGCTCAGTCTGCGCGGAGCCCTCTCCGGGTGAAGATGGATTTTTTTTTTGTGCTCTTTTTTTTTTAATTAGTTTTTAGGGCCCCCACCCACCGCTCAGGGGGGAGGACATTAGCCCCCCCATTCTAATTTAGGGCCCCCACCCACCACTCAGGGCCCCCACCCACCGGGGGGGAAATAGGCCCCCCCTTTAGTTTTAAAGCCCCCACTCATGCGTCACGGGTGGGGGCTGGGGAGGGGGCACCCATATTTTTTTTCATATTTTTTTTTTTTTAACAGTGAGCAGCCACTGGCTGCTCACTGTTTAATAGACATGCCCCTACTTGCGGTATAGTGAGTAGGGGCACAATTTACTAATACTAAGTAATTTTTACTTAGTATTAGTAAATTTGGCTGAAAGACCAGTTTAGGTCTTTCAGCCTTTTGGTAGATAACTCACTAATACTGTGGGAATTAGGGAGTTATCTACCAACCGGCTGCAAGAGAAGTTCCGAAGTCAAGAAGTATCGAAGTGCCAAATTTCCGAAGTGTCGAAGTGCTGAATTGCCGAAGTGCCGAATTGCCGAGGTCCCGAAGTTTCCGAAATCACAGAATTTCCAAAGTGCCGAAGTTGCCGAAGTTCCGAAATGTCGAATTGCTGAAGTCCCGAATTTCGAAATGCCGAATCGAACCGAAAATTTTTCCCATGCACATGCCTATTGAATATACTCCATTGACTACAACCCTCTGTTGCCTGTCACTCAGCCACTGCCTTACCCATTCGACAATATTAGAATCCAAACTTAAAGATTGCAATTTATTGATAAGCCTTCTATGTGCAACAATGTCAAAAGCCTTACTGAAATCTAGGTAAGCAATGTCTACTGCACCATCCAGATCTATTATTTTAGTTACCCAATCAAAAAAATCAATAAGATTAGTTTGGCATGATCTCCCTGAAGTAAACCCATGTTGTCTCTGATATTGAAATCCATGTGTTTTTAGATGTTCAACAATCCTATCCTTTAACATGGTTTCCATTACTTTCCCCACTACTGAAGTAAGGCTTACTGGCCTATAGTTGCCTGACTCCTCCCTACTACCTTTCTTGTGAATGGGCACAACATTCACTAACTTCCAATCTTCTGGGACTACTCCTGTTAACAATGATTGGTTAAATAAATCTGTTAATGGTTTCGCTAGTACACCACTAAGCTCTTTTAATAACTTTGGGTGTATTCCATCAGGTCCCATTGACTTATTTGTCTTTACTTTTGACAGTTGAAATATAACCTTTTCCTCTGTAAAGTCATTTAATAAATGACTCATGTATTCCACCTTGTATGGGGTTTGGTGAAACCTTCTCCCACTGGTGGTGATGAACGGCATATGGGGTATAGATGGATAGTTTAAACAGTTCCGGCTGTCAGTTGTTCAAATCTCCATTTTTTGCCGCTGAAACACAGGCCTGCAGTTGTTCAGGTAAGTGCATTAGTAATTTAGATTAAAACTAGTATAGGCACTTGGGTCTCTGTTCTTTCAGTCCCTCCCAGTTGCTTACATTAGGCTTCCTTCTAACAAATAGGTCACATTTAGGAGGTTTGTGTGGTGAGCATTTAGGTAAGTTTATACATTAAAGGATGCATTGTTCAAAAGAGTGCTGATAATGCAAGGAGACATTGTGCAAAAGAGTTCTGATGATGCAAGGAGGCATTGTAAAAAAAGACTGCTTATAATGGATATCCTGGCTGTATAA